CCGTGAGTTTGGGGTGAGCCAGACTAAGGCAAGGGAAGCAGGCTAGGTAAGACCAAGCTAGAGCGGGGGAACAAGGAGCTGTCGCCGTGTCCATCTTTGCCTCGTTCCTGCCCCTGCCTGTACCCACACCCTCAAAACAGTAACTCCTAGAGTGACTGAGGGACTCTGAGGAAATACTGACCTCCACATGATAGGGAGTAAGGCTCCTCCTGGAAGATTCCAGAACCTCAATGAATAATGAATGTGTTCACCTAACTCAGGGAGGTCTTCATTATTCTTTAACCATATGCTGCCCAGTATTTTATTTCAAATCTAGGGCTCAGTTATAATTTATAGAATGACACGGGGAACTTCTCCAGTTTGGAAAAACTGTCCACTATTTTTATTTTGTAATGTATTCCAATATGAATATATTGGCTAGTTGGATTCACATTTTAAAGTGCTTTAACTGGGCTTTTATAAAAGCCAGTTTTTTTTTAATTTTAAATAACTTCTGCAGTAAATTTCCAGTTTTCCCAGGTTACTGGGAAACCCACGTTAGGATTCCTGACATGTGCACACCTTTCCTGCCTCATTGAGAGTGTCAGTCTCTAAAGGGCTGTGCAGCCCAATCTTCATGAAGTCCCCTTGGAAACTTACCACAGTAACCAAGTATGTGTGGCATTTAGAGAAAAGCCACCGATGGCCCATGTTGAAAAGTTACTTCCAAACACTTACCTGGAAAAGTGTGTTTGGCCCTTGCAGCCTTGCAGGACTCAGGGGAGCAACAGGACTAAGGCTGCTCCAGAAATGTATGCTGGAGAGCAGCGGACTCGGGGTCAGCAGCAGTCCATTTGGTGTCTAGAAGACAAGGCAACAGGCAGGTCTTGATGGGGGCTTCACCTAACGCCAGCCATGGCGTTAGATGCACTAGCCATGAACAGTGAACCAAATCTTGCCTTCTCCAGGAAACTGGATAACTTACGTTCCGTCTGCATGGCTATGCAGTTTTCATTTTCTTAGTACTAATTTTATCCACAGGTCGTAGGCAAGTCATCTTGCCTAAACATCCTGGTGGAAAAGGCAGGTTTGCAGCAGCTTCAGCCCCCCCCCGCTCCCAGTAAACCACGAAGTGTACAGACATAGATAGCAGCATCCTGGGGAGGGGCTTCCTTTCTTATCAAACTATTTGGTCACAGTGGACACCTATTGCTTACATGGGCACACACATGTTCATCAAAGTCTCCTTGGGCTTCACTGCCTGCTATCAACAGCCCTTTGATAATTGACATTCAATTAGCATGGGTCTGCAGCAGCAACTTCAGAACCCTGAGCTGATTTTAAAGACTTCCCCCTGGATGTGGGGCTGGGAAGAATTCATTGCCCTGGCGGTGGAAAGTAGGGTTGGAGAGCCAGAGCTTAGCATTTCTTAGAAGTGACAGGACTGGCATTTGCTTACCCACACTCGGCAGGAGTCCTGGCCCACAAGCCAGCTAAAGGGCAGGAGAAACAACCCGCCCAGGCCAGTAAATCTGCACAGCTTTTCTTCTCAGAGAGGCAAGCTCCCTGACTCAGGGTGTCTGCACCTCTGGTGACCAGAAGGAGCCCCTCAATAAGACTCTTTGTGTAAGAATACAGCAGAGGCGCCAGCATTTCAGATTGCATCATGCTGGACGCGGCCGTGTTATTTTTTCCTAGAACTGGCCTCAGCAGCTTCAATAATTATCAAGAGCATTTGAGCTTAAACCTAAATTGAAAGGTTTGCTCTGTTCAGCGGGAGAGAGACAAACATCCAGTGGTCTTCCAGCTGAAGTGCTGAAAGGTAAACAAATTGAAACCAAGTTATTTGAGTCTTTGGCTCCATGGCATTTCCTTCTACATACCGAATGGCCTACGAGGTTACTAGGATAAATACGTGTTTTGAGTCAGTGCTCCATTTGTTTCTAGTCCAGGCAGTTTCACAAGCATGCTAGGCCAGCTGGCCTCACGGTTAAAAATTAATGAGCTCTGCCAGGGTTCCCGTATCAGAGCCTCTACTCACTAGTTAGACAACCCGAGACAAGCAACCTAGCTTCTCTGGGCCTCGATCTTAATGTATTCAATGGGAAGAATGAAAACGCATGCTATTATTGCAGGGTTGCTGGGAAGATAATCTAATCCATCTGAAACTCCGTGTGTGTGTGTGTGTGTGTGTGTGTGTGTGTGTGTGTGTGTGTGTGTGTGTGTGTGTCCAACAGAAATGTCAAGACTAAGAGACTCAAGTCATGGTAAGTCTTAATATCTTTGTGAACTAGTGAATCAGTAATAAATACAAAATGTATCTGACACACTCACTGGATGGACTTTATCTATTCATGGGAGAAATTCTCAGCTGGGTACTGAACAGTCCTGTGAAACCAGCTCTGCAGGTATGTTGGGCTCCAGTCCACAGACTCAGGTGACCTGAGAGCTAATATTTACATGATACCCCAGAGCCAGGTTCGAGCTAGTGTGTCACATTAACATTTAATAACCAGTGTCAGGGCCTTCTGGTTTACCCTCAGTGAAGACTTCTCCAAGTCTACATAGTCTTCTAAACCATACGGGACAGCTACCTTTTTGCTACCCAAGGCCACATGCTCATTCCTCTGTACAATAATGTAAAATAGAGGACTTCTGTTTCCATGGTTGACAGTTCACATTCCTTCTGGATTTGAGGTGTTTGCACATTTGTTTCCAAGTAATACAGGATGTACTTAGAATGCAGTGGCCTTCTGTTCCTCATGGTAATACATCTGAAATGTCTTCTATAATTTATGCAAATCAACACTGTGAAATGACTTCATTCACTCCCCCTCCGATTGCTGTTCTCTCTGGAGATCCTGTGGCCTTAAAAGAAGAGCTGCTTGGGAACTTGGAAGGGGAACTTCCGAAACAGTCTTGCCTGGGTTACCTCAGGACAATGCGGAGCCTCCACTGCCTGCCCTGGAGGAAAGAGTGCCTGCCCGAAGAGACTGGGGCTTGGGGAGAGGAGAGCTAAAACACAACCCATGCTGCTTTCTTCCCCTCCACCTGGAAGGAGTCCCTGGTCCAAGGGACAGACACCCAAGGTCAATGGACAGTCGTTTACAAGGAAGAGGGGTTTCCCACAAGGACCTCCTTTCTCTTCCTCCCCATTCAACTCCACTTAACACCACGCCCCCCCCCACCTTACACACGTGACCTTTAGCAATAGAAGCTGGTCTCATCCAGATGTGTTGCACCTGTGTGTCCTGGTCCCTGCATCTCGTCCTTCAGCCTTTTCTACCCATCTCCCTTTGCCCATCTAAAGTGCCACCTTCTTGCCCCTGGCCCCCACTTAAGTGAATGGGGTTTGTCCCCATAGCCTTTGGAGACATTGTCCACTGTTGTCCTGAGTGCGCAGCTCCCAAGTGCTTGATGAGCTCCAGAACCTTTCAGCTCTGTGCTCTCCTGTCTGAACCCAGGACAAGTCTCACTCAGTATCCGGGCTCCTCCCAGCACTTCTCACCCCGCCCCCTCCTCACCCTAACCCTCCCCCTCCCACAGGCTGGGCTTTGCTTCCCCCGGCCTGACCTCTATACAACTCAGCCATTTTGGCTATGCTGGTCTCTTGGCCCACGCCACCTCTCTTAGTAGGCAGCTCCTCTCTTGCTCTCCCTCCCCATCTCCTCTCACGGTTGGTTGAGTCTGCCAACCACGACCAGCCTGGATTCTTCCCTCTGCCTGCTTTCTCCCTTGTATCTACAATAAAGTCGTCTCCATATTTTAGGAGTAGTCGTGCCCTCTTATTTCATTTAGCTTCTCCGCCTGGAATGACCCACATGTTCAAAGCTGAACTCATCTTTCATATCCACTGCTTCTTAAGGCTTCAGTTTCTGCAGGCAGTACCATCAGTTGGGTATCGATATATACACCAACCGTGGCTGAAAGAATTTGCAGAAGCAAGGAAAACCCAAGACATGATTTCTGCACACATGGCCCTGCCCACCGCTCAGCATCCAGTCACCAGGGCACAAATAGTGCCTTCCTGGAACTCACTTTCTATCTCTTCACTTCATCTGGGCTGCATTCAAAACCCAACCAGAATGTCACTCAACCAGTGATACTCTCCAGCTCTTCCTCTAATACCCAGAGCTCTTCTACATCCTTATGCCATGCTCTTCTCAGCCCATAGTGCTCCTGGAAAGATTCCTGCTGCTTCCTTAATGCCTGACCCAAGTGTGACACCCCCCTCCCCATAGCAACTCTCAATGTTCTTTCACTCCTCTGGGAAAATTAATCCCTTCTCCCTAAACATTCCCTTGGTGACGCCTCCTAGCTCTCAGGGACCATTCCACCCAGCCTTGTATTCCTAACTCTAACCTTAGCAGCTTACACAGGGGTGGTGCCCCTTCACCGTTAGGGAACTGAGCCAAATGTTCTTGCTGCTTGTGCTCTTCAGGTCTCCTCTGCTGGACATAACTGTCTTGTGTGTGCGTGTGCGTGTGTGCGTGGGTGTATGTGTGTGTGTGTGTGTGTGTGTGCACGTGCTTCATCATTGCTAGGTCCTGAGACTGTAAAACTGGTCACTTCTTGTGTCCTTTTTATGTCTTGCAAAATTAATGTTCAGTGGTTACTTGTTAACTCTAATAAGGAATTTGTGTTCCACTTGGCTTATGCCTCTTGAATCTGTTAATGCCCTATCAAATCATGTCTGAACTTCTGAGGCAGGTTTCGTGACCCTAAATTATATATTGGCCCAAATTCTTTCCTTTGTGAGCAGCACCTATAAGCTCATGAGAACTAGAACTGTGTCTGTCTACTAGCCATGGGCAGCAAGAAGGTGCCTGGGTGTTTTTCAGTGACTAGCTCTGAGAGAACTCATCACAAAGGGGAGGCATTCTCTACACGACAGATAGAAGAGAATGTGCAGGGTCTTCTCAGTGGCAAGTGTTTGCTGATGTCTAGAGCGGTGCTTGAGACACTAGGAAATCAACCAGACTTTAGGAAAAAAAACTAACACATGCACCTTAAAAGTGACATAAGAGGCAAACAGACTCTATTATAATGGCACCCCAGTTAAACATTATTTTAGAAAAGTTGGGTCAGTGGTAAAAGCATTTGCACCAAGCCAAAGTTCAGTCTGGGGGGTCTCATGTATTGGAAGGAAAGAACCAACTCCTACAAGTTGTCTTCTGACCTCAACCTGTGCTCCATGACACATATGTCCCATCGTCACACATGTAGTAAAGTTAGTATATATGTGTGTGAATAAATAAGGTGTAATATATATACACATACACACACACACACATATATATATATGTATATATATATATATATATACATATATATATATATTCCCTGAAGTGCCAGTCGCTGGAAAGCCACAGAATTGTCTGAATTCAATAAAAACATAGTCTTAAAGACTTTAAAAGAGGACCAGAATCCCATAAGAGTTACTGCAGTTCCGATCTGAAGGAAGGGGATAAGGAGAATCTCACACATCCCATGGAAGGCAGTGATGGAGCCTGAGGTGAGATAAAGAGGCAAGAGGGACCAACAGGAGGGGAGAGGAGCATCAAGGGGACCCAGGGAACCCAGGGCACAGGCAGGGAGCCAAGAACCTCCGCAGCTTCTACTGCAAAGACCTCCCACAAGGAAGTTCTCTGCCTGTAGGGAAGGCCATTGTGAACAAAGCTGGAGGCTTGGCTGGGGCAGTGTTAACAGAATAAGAAGGAAGTCGAACAACCCTTGAGGGAAGAGAGAGGAAAAAAAACCTGTTTTTCTTCTAAAGCTAACGTTAGAAAAGACAGGAAGATGGAACCACCCCAGAAGTGGGCTGGCGGACTGGATGCCTGCATTCCGGTTGCCCCAGACTCCCTGTTTCTGACTCCGGATCAAAACTGTCTCACCACCCCATAATAAAGGAAGTAGACTTTAGCATTTCCAACCTAGCAGGCTGTCTCCCCCTCAGTCAGCACTAATCAGGGCAGCTGCTGAGCAAACACCCTGAGGCCTGCAAACTCAGACTCTGACAGAGAGCGCCTGCCCGCGCTAAACGGATCTGATTTCATCATCTTGCACAGTACAGGTGATATGAACACAAGTCTTGGCAAAAGTGGGAAACCCAAAGCATCAGCCTTGGGGTCTGAAGTGGCTTCCCCTGGGGGCAGGGAGTGGGGTGGTGGTGCCCCTGGGGGCAGGGGTGGGGTGGTGGTGGACAGGGGCAATGGGACACAAATGGAAAATGGCGGGAAGGGAGACAGATGAAAGCAAGGTGCAAAGGACAGAGTCAGAAGCTCCAGCTGGCGCCTTCCGCACTGCCAAGGTGCCTGGCCAGAGGCCAGGGAGCCTTCACACCCCAGCTCCTCCGCTCTGCCTTCCATTTGGGAGCTTGTGCCAACAGTGACAGCACGCAGCCCTGCTTTTTGGCAACATTCAGACAGGACCTCTGGGGCTGAGCTCTGAGGCCCCCGTTTCTCTGAACCTGTCTGACTTTTGCTCGAGTTTTTCAGTTCCTTGCAGTCCCTTGTTGGAGATGGTCTTAACTGTGTTGGTAACTTGTTTATTATAAATTTATAGCAAGAGTGATGTCCCCCGGCTCTTTATAATTCCTGTTGCTAAAGGCATCACAAGTGTCCCTGCCATGAGGTGGCTCTGGCCCTAAGGGAGTGGCAGAATCCTGCTGGCTTTCTTTTCTTCACATCCAGTTGGAGATGAAGAGTTCAAATCTGAACTTGGACCTTACGAGGTGCACGGAAAAGGACAGTGATCATGTGACACGTGTGTCAAGGCTCCGCACTTTTAGGGGCTGGGTTAGCAGAGCACAGACTTCCTCGCTCAGGGCAGAAGTTTAGAGGGTGTTCTCACAGGTGACCAAATGCTGTGTGCCAGCCGGGTCCCACTTCACAAAGCACCCTGCAGGAGAAAGGAATGCTGCCATAGCCGAGGGAAGTGCTAAGGTGGGCAAGGGAGCCAGCCCATGAGCCCGGGAGTGAGCCCTCCCTCGTGAAGGGTTCAGCAGGGCATCTATCCATTCTGCTTCTGAACCCCACCCCCAAGAGGGAGAGCCAAGGAGGGGTGGGAGAGCCCAGGAGGGGTCGGAGAGCTTCTGGAGCAAACTGTTGGAGGAATCTTCTCTACAGATCTAAATCTTAGCTGACCTCAAGTGTAGCCTGTCCTGAAGGACCTAAGGCCTGGCAGGATAAACCTGAGTGGCTTGTCTGGTCCCAGATAAGCCACCAACGGCTGATGGAAGGCAGGTATGACGGAGTTTTAGTGTATCGCTGCCCTTCTCTCCCTCTCTGTTGCCTGCCCACAGCCGCACGAGGAGCAGAGCCCATACTCCAGGAACATAAAGGAATGTCCCCAAGCAGCCTCCTTCCAAACTCTCATTCTGACTCTCCCAGGAAGCCTGGGCCCATTCCTTACTCTCCTGGTCCTCACTCAATGAACTTGGAGTTCTCTCAACTTGACTCGAAGATGGCTGAGACACACAGGCCTCTGCCACAGAGCCTGGCTTCCCTAAGCATTCTCTCCAGGCTCTAGAGGAGAGCTTCTGTCTCCTGGGATTAATGCTTTGTCCACGTGTTAGGGTCCCTATCTCCGTCAGGGCCCCTCTACCCCTCACCTGCCCTGCCCCACTCGGCCCCTCTGAGAGGTCCACCCCACTAAGTTCCCAGTAGCTCGGGCCAAAGCCACAGTAGAAGCCTGGGCAATTTTCCCTGAGATAGCCAGGGCTACTCAGCTCAGAGTAGGTGACAGAGGTTCACGGAGAACACAGGCACAGCTGGAGGTGACTTGGCCTGGCGCTAGACCACTCTCAAGTGTACAGTCAGGAGCACTAAAGCCAGACTGCCCACCTGGTGGCTCTGATGCATTACTGGCCCGAGCCGCTTCTTGCCTGTTGCCAGGCAGCCTGGCTTTGTTGGGGAATGCTAATTTTGGAATGCATTTGCACCTTCCAACCTATCACAGAGTCCTGGGCCTGTCCTCAGTAATGAGTGCTATTACTGCCACTTCACAAGAGTAAGCTGTCATGTCACCCCTGGGAAGCCTTGCAAAGCAAAGTAGGGAAGAGTTGCTGGCAGCTGGTCTGCAGAAACCATGGGCTGCTATCAGGGTAAAACAGCTGGTTCCCCCCTGTGGGGTGGCAGAGTGCTTAGCTTCACAGTGGATGCTGGAGGCAGACAAAACAGGCTCAAAGCCTTGCCTGTTACTTTTAGCTATGGAATTGGGTCAAGATACTTCACCTCTGTACCCCAGTCACCTCAGCCAGGCGGCTGCAAAGACAACAGTAGTCACACCAGGGGGCTGCTACGTCATGGGTGGCAAGCTGTGTGGCGTGTGGCGGGTGTCTGGCACATGCAAAGAATTTGGTGTCTACTGTTGGGGCCAACAAAGACAGCCGTGACGAGGACAGAGGCAAAGCCCAGAATTCTGGCCCTCTACAGCATGTGAGAACACGGAGCCACGAAGCTTCAGGATGACAATGCCTGCCAGTTAGTTGGAGCTGGCTAGGTAGGGGAGCATGGCCACCATCCCAATGTGCTATCACTATACGGCATCACACAGAGATGCTGCTCACTGTGCCACACCTCAGTGGGGGGACAGATGCAGAATCTAAGCCTAAGTTTCTAACCTCTGCCACTAACACGCATCTCTTCTGGTCTGCAATCACTTCTTCTGTCTGTCCTGCAGCTGAACCAGACACCACTAAGTGCCTCCAGAAAATTATGTCATAAAAACTTCCTACGGTCTAAAAACCCCCAAAGTGCAAATGTCCCCAAGATCTGCCCGCCCTCATAGGCTGTGTGCATGATCCTCTGAGGGTTACTCTGGGTCACAGAGAGCAAATGTCCCTCTGTTGCCAGGATACCAAACCTTTCCTTGTGTGTACCTCTCAGTATACACAGTGACTTTGAGACACTGGCTAGGGGGTAACTCTTGAGGTGGATGGGGTGACTCTTCTGGCTTTCCCATGGGACCACGGGGACAGTGTTTACCTGTGCGGTGAAGAAGGCTGGAGTGAGGGATCCTGAGGGGAGGGCTGGGCTGTTGAGGGCGATGGAGCCGATGTCGCTGCCGGAGAGCAACAGTTGAGGTGCAGAAATTTCCAAGCCTTTGGGTTTTTTGCCTTTTGGGGGAAGAGACGGAGACTTGGATTTGGAGCCCGATGACAGATTTAAGGGTTCCAGAGAATCCGAGTCATGGCAGGCTGCCTCGAGGAAGAGGCTTCTGTGTTCGGAAGGGAGGGGAGAGTTGGGGGACAGGGATGGGGACCGAGATGAGGAGGGTGATGCCGACGAAACGCTGGCAGCAGCATTTGGCAACATTAAAGAGGAGATCTTGGCTGAGACAGATGAGGCCAGGAAAGCAGAGGCTGCCGCCGCCTCGGATGTGGAAGGCAGGGACACCACAGGCCTGGTGATGTGCTTGTCGGTTTTATTGGTCACAAACCTGATCACAGTCCTGACTTCTTCCACAGGGGGGCTGTCGTCACAGGGCTCCTCCAGCTTCTCGGTCTTGATGGCCTTGAAGGCCTCAGGAGGGCTCTGCAGGGAGTTGACGGTGAAGGAGGAGTACAGGCCCGAGTGGATGTATTCGTTGCGGCTGGCGCTTTTGAGGGCAGACAAGCCGTGCTTGTGGACCTCTCGGCCTTCCGGGGACACCTTACAGTCGCTGTCCTGCAGCAGGAGGCTCTCCCGACTGATCTCCACAGCGTGAGGATCCATTTTTAGGATATCCGGGAAAGAGACGAACTTGTACACAAACTTCTGCCCAATCACTTTCTTGATGATGTTCTGCGAATACAAAAGCAGACGTTTAAAATGGGTGAGCCAGAGACGCGGAAGGAGGGCGCGCTGGAATGGTGAGACGTTGGCAGCAGAAGTGACAGAGTGAGTGTCCCTGTGTCCACGGGGTGGCTAGAGCAATGATGTCAGAGACCGGAGGCTCCCGATTGCACTCTGGTTCTGCTGTGCTCTCCAGTCTTTGGCAACCTCCTCGTCTGTATTAGTTGTGATAGTTTTGGAATAGCAGAAGCTACCACTGAGTTAGCACGTATTGTGTAGCTGAGATGACTCATACCTTAGCTCCCAGAACTTGCACGGTAATCCTACAAGCAGGTTTTCTTGTTCTTGTTTCACTGTCAGGAAACAGAGCTGGGGAGGTGGCTCAGTGAGTAAACTTCATGGGGACTGGATTTCAGATCGTTGGCACCCACATAAAAGCTGGTCGGGTGTGGCGGCCAGCATTTGGGATACAGGGGATCTCTAGCGCAAGCGGACGAGTTAGATGAGCCTAATCCATGAGCTCCACATTCAGCAAGAGTTCCTACCTCAGTAAGTAGAGAATAACCAAGGGAGACATCTGGTGTCAACTTGGTGCCTATACACACATGTATGCGTGTGTACTCACATACCGCATATACCCAGACACGCTTGCACACACCACATACACATGCAAAAACCCAAAGGTTCTAAGAATTAGGAAACGCACTTTCAGCATTGTGGTGACTCACACAGCAAGGGAGTACTTCTTTAACCCTAAGACAGTGCTGTCTTACCTGCTGCCTCTGGTTGCTCAGAGAGTGCAATGGAATAATAACGGGAAATACTCTGCTACAAAGCGCTGGGGAGGTGTACGTTATCGCTTCCTGGCAACACAACATTTTCTTCAGTCAGGCAGCCATTTCTGGCAAGAAAGCCACTGGAGGGAAACAAATTGCCTGCTTGGATATTTATGGCATTCGTTTCATATTCTTAGTTGCTAGTGTCTACTTCTGGCTCTCCAGTTAAGGCTTCATTCCTCTAAGATGAGGATGTACATGAAAAATGAAAATCACTGTCAAGGGAAAAGTTTTCTCAGCCCGTGACAAAGTGGATTTTATATGGAAGGCTATGCAGGTCTTAAGGCTAATGGGGTCGGGAGAGCAGTCCTGCAGAGCCTACCCAGTTCCTTGTCTGTCTAGCAAACGCTTGCTGTAGGTCTTGCCTTGTAGTTGACTCTTAAGTCCTAAGGTACTCCAGGGAGAAAAAGATTGGCTTCCCTCTGGCTCAAACAGCCAGCACTACTCTATGGGGAAAGGACCCTGAAGGTCTCCTTAGAAGCCCTTCCTCCTAAGCCTCGTGAAATATACCATATAAGGAAGAAGCACTTTATTGATTGAGCTTGGCACAAGTCCAGCCATCAGCTGTATAAATCCCACAGCAGCCCTCACGGACAAAGAAGGTAGCATCCTTCCCCTGCCAAGACAAGCAAGTGCGGAGGAGCCACAGCCCCAGACTGCCAAGATCCACTGGCGCTAACGCCAGAACCTTTCCACATCCCACAAGGGGAAAGAAAGCACAATACACCCCGGCCAAGAGGTCTCCATGCGTTCTGACCCTCCTTGGGTGGTCATGGCTTATCCTAAGTATGAGCATGTTAGCTTTTTGCCTGCTACCTTCTTTCATTTTTTTCCCACTCCTTCAACAACTCGAAAGAAGGACCCATTTTCCAGTCACTGAGATGTTCAACAAGAAATTCCCTGAGGCAGTTTTTTTTTACAGGAGGCATGCAAGGTCCCTGTGCAGGAAATCCCAACCACATGAACCCCAGAGAGAGACCTTACCCAGCACAGCACACAAATGTGCCCTTGCCTAGGGACAGGTCAGGTTGGTGTCGAAGCTGAACAGTCCCATGGCTGATATGCTGGGGCTCTGGCCTGCAATTCACCTTCCCAAATCCCATGACTCTAGCTGACCTAGCTCCCACACCCCAGGCTGGCAAATCTTCAGAGCAATGGGGAAAACAAAAAGTTTCCACCAGCTGCTTGGGGTAGGGGTGGGGGGCATCTCTACTGAGAACAGCACCAGGCCTGGGTAGAGACCAGGGAAAGATTAAACAGGGGAGTCCTGTCTGACCCAAGCCATTCCTGTCACAAAGGTGTATGCAGCATGGAGCTTCCTCTGCTAAAACTGCTGCTGTTTATATTATATATAATACATTTCATTTTATTTATAGCTCATAATTCCTTCCTCTTTGGGAGAAAACTATATTTTTCTTCTCAACCACTTTGAATATTCATCTAAATTGAGTGAACTTATTGAGTCTAAATAATCACCCAGGAGGAGCAGAGAAACTGTTACTTCAACTGGCCAGTCTCACAAACTAACTTTTTAAAAGAAATCATTAATTTTTAAAAAGTTTTAAGTCTCTCCTCAAAAAATGAGTTGAGGTTTAAAAGTCAGCCACAGACAGACAGCTGCTAGCTCCTGGCTCACATGCCTTCCAGCTGACAAACATATGATACAGACCTAGAATTGAGTATTACCCAGCCACAAGAAAGCAGGGAGGGCCGAGACATGCTACAGTAGGAACAGAGGCCCTTATGCTAAGCGATTATAAAGACTCCCCATCATATCGTCCAATTATATGAAATGTATGGGATGGAAAATACCCACCATAGGCTGGCATGGTGGCACAGACCTGTAACCCTGAGGCAGAAGGGAAGGTTGAGATTAGCCTGGGATGCACGGTGAAACTGTCTCAAAAACCAAACATAAGGAGAAAAAAGAAAAGGAGAGAGAGGAGAGAGAGAGACAGAAGGGGGAAGCCATACAATCAGAGTGGAGATTTTGGTTACCCAGGTCTGAGAAGGTCAGGGAAGCCATGGATGGTTTCTTCAAGCTTTGGACTGGCCACAGCAATGACTGCTCTGAGTACAAGCCTCAGCCACTGAGCTACAAACAGCTTTCATGAGTCAGGTGACCAGCCTGGGGATTATGTCTCAATAAAACTGTTTTCTAAGAATGCAAAGGACCTACTATGTGTGTTCATTAGAAGACAGTGGGCATGCTCCGCTGCTCCGTGGTAATGGTCTCATTTGCTAAACCCTGCTCTGCGGAGAAAAAGTGGAAACAAGGGTTGGGCGTGGTTGGGGAGATGCCTCAATGGGCAAAGGGCTTGCTGTGCAAGCATGAAGACCTGAGTTCAGATCCCCAGCACCCACATAAAAACCCAGGTGCCTGTGACTGCAGCATGAGGGGAGGGGGCGGAGACAGAAAAATCACTGGGACTCACTGACCAGCCAGTCTAGCCAAAAGGATGAATTGCAGGTTCTGAGAGAGACAGTGTCTCAAAAAATTAGGTGGAGAGCTACTGAAGAAGGCATATGAAGCCAACCTCTGACCTCCTCATGTACACACACAATTGAGTGCACTCTGCACAGGCATGTGTGAACACACACACACACACACACACACACACACACACAGACCCCAAAGCAGAAAAAGTGGCAAGGGGGGGCCGTGTCAGTCTGGAAGCCCCACAGCAGGACATTAGAAGGGCCTCTGAAGAAAGTTCACCAGTGTTGTGTAGATGGATTGGATACGAAGCCACAAGGAAGAAGTCTGACTGTCGTTAAGAGCAAAGACGGGCTCGGCCTCTTTAAAGACCAGCCTGCAAGGTGGATTCCGTCAGGCTCCTCAGCCACAGGGAAGGCTGAGAACGGAGCAAGGCGAGGATGACGGGGAAGGAAGGGCAGGGTACCAGCATCAGAGAGACGCTTCCCGGTTTGTCAGGGGCTCAACATCATGACAGAAACTGGCAGGGGAAATCCACAGCTGGGGCAGGAGAAGAACAGTGGAGGGGGGTTGGGGGGTGGGGGGGTTGGGGGGTGGCTAAAGCAACGGCTCTTCCATTTCCTGCTAGGGCAGATCTCAGGAATAAGAGGGACTGTGGCTATCTGCAGACCTCGCTACTGTTCCGAAGGAACATTTCTTACCTAGTCAGCTGGGAAAACACCATGTGGGCAACAACAGTAGCTAGGGTTCACTGATCAAAGAACTCGAAGCTATTAACCCATTAAGCTTCTGTGCAATTATTACCCCGTAGGACAGATGGGGAAACTGAGGTTCATGGACTATAAACAACACACCATCAGAAACTCATGGTTGGAAAATCTGGCTCCTGAGTGCTTGGCCAGAAACGAAGGGGATTTACATCAGCCAAAGCAGATCGGCATTGGGCAGTGCTCTTGCTATGGTAGGTGATGAAGACATTTTGAAGATGTCTGCTTTCCACCCCTTCAATACCAGACTCACAAGTATTTGTTACTCCCCGTTGCCTGGCAGCCCAACAAATGCTAATGTATGTCCAGCTGAGCCAAGAGACTTTCTGTGGTTTTTAAAGAGACAGTTGCATACATCTGCCTCCTTTCTATGTGCAGAACAAGTCACTGAATAATCCCCCGTGGAATGTGGAATGTGACCCACAGCCAGGGCCAACTCCGGGCCCTTTTTGGTGAGCCCCAGGCAGCAAGGACAAGGACAAGGACAACTTCTGAGAAAGGGAAACAAGCATCCCCCATAGCCAACATACAGCCGTGATACCCGGAAAACGAAGGTTGGGCTTGGAAATGACCCCTGTCACTTCAACGGTGCGAGAACCTGAAGTGTGGACAGTCTGACAGGTCACAGGGTGCCGAGGCAAAGACACCTCTCCCGGCTCACTTCCTCACCAACAAACTGACCTCCATTTCCCCAGAACCATCTGCAGCCCTGACAGGTCAGAGGCTCACCTGCAAGAACATGTGTGCCCATAACTGTGGGCATGAACCCTGCCTTTGAAGAGGACAGGGCTGTGTAAATAATCCCAAATCCTGTCACCTCATACTTCACAGTCTGGGGGCAGGGGAGGTGGTTAACCTCTGGACCCTGAGGCTGCTCAAGACCCTTCCATGAAGTGACATGGGATTCACAGACAGCCTTTGCACAGCCTCCCATATGCTGTAAACCATCTCCATATCACTTCTGTGTCC